CGAGAGGTAGGTCCACCACAGAATGAAGTGTTGAGAAGTGTCAACAGAATGGAGTGTTGGTCAGTCTCAATATGCAGACTCAAGCTTATGTAGAGAAGAATGTCAATGACCGACAAAAAGAACGCAGAAAGAACAATGAGTGAAAGAACGTTGCTGGCTTGCTTGCTGAACAATCCCCTTCACCTCGCCATTCACCTCTTTATATCCTTCCACGGCTCCCAGACCACCCACCCTCAGCACCTATTTTTATCTTCTTCAGAAAACCCCTCCTCTCCAGGTTGAAACACTATAGCGTGAGTTGACCAAGTAGACCTTGCATCAGCAAACGCGCGCGAAGAGAACCTTGAAGTCAGCCACTGCCACTGCAGGAATCCGATGGGTTCTGCACACTCCTACGGCCCGTTTCAGATCGACAGGCGGCGCTTACAGTACCTAGTAGGTAAGGTACTAGGTAGACACTCCCCACTACCCAAGTGGTTGGTGCACACAAAGCGCCCGCCTTAGCAGTCGGTGGCTGGATTCCAATCGATCCTCGCTTGGCGATTAACTACAAAAGTTCGAAACCTTTCAGCTTCCAGAGTTAACCGCCTGCCTCCCTTGCAAGGCTTCTTTGTTCATCCCATTCATCTCGATCTTCTCCCTAACACAACTGCTAACTGCTACCTAGACAGCATATACACCAGACAGCTGCTACTAAACCAGGCTAACCTGCCAAACCTGCCAAACCTCACATCTGCACATGCCATCAGACCTTATTATTGATAGTCAATCAACCAAACCTTATTCCTATGCAACTATGCAACCCAGTTCATCCCCCATCCTTCCAATATGTATCAATGTTGAAACACAATGCCAATTGGACCAGAAACCATGCATGACGCTGACGTGACATTCATCGACCAGAGCGGGGATTCATTCCATGCAAAACAAGAAAACAAAACAAGGCTAACAATCCATCATGCAGGACAAAAACAAAACAAACCATTAAACATCAAGAGACAACGACTCAAAACCGAACAATCGCAATGGCGGCTCACTGGTCACATACCCGAGCGCCATCGCTTCTTTGTCAGGGCGGCCGCTTCTCTCCGTCAACAACCCCTTTAGCGCCCGACCCCGTCGCCGCCACTTTTGGTGCATTACTCGGTGGCATGGCGCCCTTAGCACTGGTCGGTGGAGCTAAAGGTGGTGGTGCTGGTGGGCTTGGGTCCGCCTCTTCCTCATGCTCGTTGCTCCCATACTCATCCTCATGGGTTCCAGCCCCGCCTCCCATCGAAGAGTGGTCCACAGATGCGCGATCGTACCCATGATCATAGGTTGCCGGCTGAGCTGCCGCCTGCTTAGTGGCATTCTTGGTCGCCTTCTTGCCCTTCCGACCTTTCATCTTGGCTTTCTCAAGCAGCCGCTTCTTCTCTGCTAGTCGCTTGCGCTCCTTACGATCCTTGATTTCGTATTGCCGAATGAGGGCCTCCGGTGGGCGTCCAAAGATACTCTCGTACTCACAGAACTCACAGATCCAGATGTCCTCAATGCTTGGGGGATGGTGGAGATTTGCGTACTGCTGCTGGATTTTGCGTTGACGCGCAGCCAGGGCGTAGATGCTCCCTGGCGATCGCTTTTTCTTCCTGGCCGCCGGGGCTTCACCCGTGCCCGCTTGTGCTTGCTGTGCTTGGTGCTGAGATTCTTGCGAGTTGGGTTGAGCAGCCATGTTGGGGCTCGTTTGTGTTCCCTGAGAGGGACCCCTCGGGTTCGGTGCGGCAGCCGGGAGAGACAAGGGTGAGCGGTGGTGTGGGGGATACGAAGTCTGGGGTTGGAGCGCCATGCCTCTCGAGGAATCGGATTCACACGTGAATGTGAATTGTGTCTTGGTAGGCGTGGGAGTTTGTTGCTCTAGCATGCTAACATGCTTGGGACCGGTAGGGGGAGGGGCAAACGCGGACGCGGCAGCATTGGCAATGGCCGTGGAGATGATACCCTGGTCGGGCTTCTCGGACGAGTCACCTAAAGTACAAATAAGCAAAGGTTTGGTCGACCGGGAGACGGATGGTTGCGTACCTGCAGGCCCAGGGGAGGACAACAAACCGTCGCGTCGGCTGGGGGTCCGAGGCCAACTGATCGGTGAATGAAGCGAGAAAGAGTTTCGCCCTGTGCTGCGATGCGGTTGACGACCGAGACGACCTCTGCCGGCCCCGGAAACGCCACTGGAGATCGGAGACGCGGGGCTCCCGGTGCCGTAGAATGTACTCACATGGCTGCTTTCACTGGCCGAGGAGGGTTGGACCGAGCTGGCTAGCCCCATGGTGGAAAATTCAGGAGAAAGGGTGGAATGGTGGCTCCCGAGACTGCCCGGAGTTGGAATCTTGCGTTTCTTTTTGTTGTTAGTGTTCTCAAACGCGTCGTACCCATCAGGACCCGCCGAGGACGACTTGACGGGCGCCCGGTCCCCGTTGGTGGGGACGGCCTGGGGTTGTGCACTGAAGGCCGACGGGGACAGAGAGGACCCTCGAAAACCGGCACTTCGTCGAACAACTACAGGCCCGTCCTCATCGCCGCTCTCCAGCTCTATTCCGTTCTCGTAATGGAGGTGGTCACGCTCGGGGCTCTGATCACGACCTTCACTCTGTTGCACGTACACCTTCGTGTCATGTACAAGATCCGCGCCATCCACCGGGGTCCCATAGAAAAGTTGTGTTGCCGGGGCCGGAGGGAAGAGGATCGAGTCGGCCGCTTCGGAGGACAGGCGAGAGCGAAGGGTACGCCTAGGGAGAGGACGAATTAAACGATCCGGGTAGACAGGAGACGGTGTATCAGGAGCCGCATTGAACATCCCATCTGCGGGTGAACAGTATCAGCAACCCAGCAGCCAGCAGACCCTCCAACCTTCCTCCTGTGTGGCCCGCCTCGGGGGCAATTTCCATTATTTGTACGCACCAAGAACGCCAGGCGTTCCTTCTCCCGAGGAACAGATACCGTTGGTAAAAGACATACTCAACGTAGCAGTCATGCTGCAAGATTCTCGACTCGCTTCAACCACAGTCACGGCCGAGACGCCGTTTTGATTCTCCGAACAACCAACCCCAACGATATCGCCCGCGGTGTCTTATTGTCCCAGCTTTTTTTGGGTGATGCTAATGGTCTGCCGCCAAAGGCCCTCCGAAAAGGTTGATTTCGTCTGACCGACAGGGAAACGGCGATTTATGAGGGAGGGTGGGGAGGAGGAAGAAGAACGGCGGGTTGTTCGTAAACCGGCACTGATTTGGCACCCACACTTAGTTGTCATGTTTCCCCTACGTTGGCAAACGGAACCACACGATGTTTGACCGGACCGCTGCCCAAGCGTGCATCCAAGGTGTCCATTTCCACCAGACCTCAACCGCCAGGGCAAGTGCGAAAGAAAATGCCGAATGAGCGTAAGGGACTCACATTGTTGACCATGCACTGGGACCGCTCATGCAGACTTTGACTCAGCCCGAGGTGTCGGTAGGGACAGAGCACTGCAAGAAACGAGACCAACCCAACCCCGGACCTGGAGATTAACTCGGAGGGAGGGATAGGAATGTATTGAAAGACCCCAGCCAGACAAGTGAGGGCCGAATTATATGGGGGTGAATTAAACCTGGGGAGAAAGAAGAGGGGGAAGAGGGGGAAAAAGACATTAAGGTATAGGGGACGAAGAAGGCGGAGGGGTGGTGGAATCGAATCGTCGGTCGATAATTATTATGAATGACCAATAAGTAATCCGCTTTCCCTTTCTAGAGGAGCTGCGGGTACCTCAGGTGGTGGTGAATGCCTGAGGCATGAGAGCTCCAGGCCGTTAAGAGCTAGGCCATTTTTAGTGATGGCCCCACCCGACCAAAGACTCAACTAAACCCAGTCCCAGCACTTTTCTTGCTTCGTCATCTCACCTGGCACCAACTTGACTCAGCCGGCTCGCTCGATATACACTGGACTGGCCTGGTACCTCCTCGTGCTTTTATCCTACGCAACTTTGTCGAATATGATATCCACCCCAAGCGAAGGAATACTCGAGTATTCCCGAGTCCTGGACCATCCTTGCGATCTCTATCGACCCGTGCTAGCATAGCCAGACAGTCGCGGTGCCGATTACCCAGCTTCAAGCGAACGGTCACACATTACTTGCCGCTTGCCCACAAACTGACAAAGCCACCTGCTCCCTCACCTACGTTCTTTTGAGACCCCGATTCCTCACAAAACATATACCCGATTTGATGGATATCTGGGGGATTAGGACAGGTCGAGTAGTGGGCAGCGAGGAGGCAGCGATGCAATTGTTGTCCGGAAGAGGATTGTCTGACATCTTGGTTGAATGGGAATGTAGTCATGCCAGTTTGACTGTGGGATGAATGACAGCTCATTGTAAAATGCCGTGCTTAGAGGCTTGCAGCGTACGTATCATTCAGACTATCCCCCCACCCATTATTTTGTCGAGCAGTAGAAACCCTGTATCTGTACTCCGTAGGATATCTTGCAACGTTTGGAACACGGAAAAAGAGAGACGGAATGATGGACCAGGCATCTCGTCATCAGGAGATGTTGGTGACAGAGGTGCATGGAAGGTAAGCGGGGTTCCAGGACACTGGAATGAGTGCTTTCGTCGCATTCCTCCCCGAGCACCTGATGCGCAAGAACAAGACGAAAGAGAAGAAGCTGCGGGTAGAGGAGGGGAAAGTGAGAGCTAAGATCGGGATTGAAGAATAATCACGGTATCTAGAGAAGATAATCCCGTACGACACGATACAACGCGACAGATTCGCGAGAAGGAGGAAGAGACGGAGAAAAGAGGAGGAGCGGGGAAGAAATGACTCTAAAGCCAATGCGCGTTGACCGCAAGCGAATCCCGCGCGCAGAATTGAAAGCAGCGCCCGTAGTCAAGCAGTCGTCGGTCCCGTTCCGGCGGCCGTCCGTCATTTGGTTGGAGTCCGTCCGTTCCTCTCGCCCTCCTCCTCCTCCTCCTCCTCTTCCTCCTCCTCTTGCTCGCTCGCTCGCTCCCTCCTCTGCCTTCTCCTCTTCTTTTGTTCTGCCGAATCCTCTCCCCACCTTTTCTCTCCCCTCTGACTATGTAGTCCTCGGCCTGAAGTTGAGCTTGCAGGCGTTGTTCTAGGATCGTTCCCTGCTTTGGTTCCCAATTGCCAGCTTCCTTTCCTTGATCTGCCCCCCGGCTTTTTACTCCCAGCATCCTCTGATCGTCTTTCCCACCATTGTGGGCGTCGTTCTCGAATCCCACCACCTCCCACCCGTGTGCGACAGCTTGATCGTTCACGGGCAGGTGTGCTCAGCTTCTCCGCCGTGCTCCAACCTCTATCTATATCTTTTTTCTCCTCTATTTTCCTATACGCACGGCTGGGGTCTCCTGCAGAGTTCTCCCGCTATTTTTATCCTCCCACCACCCTCCTCCCACCATGACGCCTCGGCGCTCCTCTCGTGCTCGCACCTCACAACCATCCCCAGCCATTCTACAACATACCAACTCCTCCAGCTCCTCTACCTCGATGACTCGCGAACGAAGTACTCGCTCCCACCACAAGATCTCCTCCCCTCAGCGATCTTCCACGAACCGGTCCCAGTCGATCGACGATGCCGACATTGGCTCGAAAGGTGACTACAGAGAGACGCGGCAGCGCCAGCGTGCTCGAGGGGAGGAGGACAACGATCAGATGAAACTTGCCGACGGTGACGACGACGACGGTGAAGATGAGGAGGACGAAGAAGAAGAGATCACTCGCTGTCTCTGTGGACAGCAGGAATACCCAGGTCTGCCTCCCTCGCGTCGAGAGGCAATTGGTCGCAATGGACTGCGTGGCGGCATTAAAGACGAGGCCCTCTTGGGTCTCTCCGCAGATCCTGCTGATTTGATGTCGGATGACATCGGCAGCATGTTCATCCAGTGTGATTCCTGCAAAGTCTGGCAGCACGGTGGCTGCGTGGGTATCATGGATGAGGCCATGAGCCCCGATGAATATTTTTGCGAGGAGTGCCGAAAGGATTTGCACAAGATCCTCAATGAGATAAATGGGTAGGTTCACAGCTTTGTTTTGGCTTTCATTGCTAGTATTTGTTGCTTGCGTGCACTTGTGTTGGCAGCTTCTTTTTGTTTTTGCTTGGTGGGACTGCTCGCTGCTGTGAAATTTTTTGCCGCATCAGCAAGACCAGTAACAGCTGCAAAAACTGGAGATTCTGTCTTTGTTTGGATGGCAGTCATCTATGGGCCCAGGTTTCTTCTCTCCTTCTATGCTTTCTGCTCACAGTAACACAGATCATACTCCTCCCAATATCTACCGGTCGCCCCTCCTCCTCCCTCCACTGCCGTTTCATCGAGAGACTCATCGCGCGATAACTCCCGTCGCAATAAAGACACAAAGTCACGATCGAATGACGCAGCTATCAATCCCAAGCGCCGATCCACAATGAATAGCCGGGACGCAGCATATGATGAGGAGGAACAGCTGCGGCGTGCAATCGAAGAGAGCAAGGAAGAAACGAAGCCTGGAGATGAACTTGCTGCACGGAGGCCAAAGAGAAGCCGCAGCGATAGCGAAGCGTATGTCATTCCGATTGCTGGTAGCGTCGTCATCAACTGATCTGAGACAGTCAAAGGCAAACCACGAAACGCCAACGCACGAGCTCACCCTCACCTGGCGCCGTCTCCAAAAGCAATCCCGTGTCGCAGCAGGTCTCAGAAGATGAGTCCAGGGCCAAACCAGTCAATAATGTAGCTCGCAGACAACGGGCTGCATCGCGCGGACAGCGCGACAAGGATCTTAAGGATACTGAAGAACCTGAGCCTGAACCAGCTGACGCCGCAAACCGCAGGAAAGCCAGGTCCGACAAGGCGAAAGATGGTAGGTTGTGTATTCCATGAGTACATTTGACGGAATTACTAACCCAGGCAGACGAGGCAGAGTCCGAAAATGAACCCGGCTCGCCAATCAAGCCAGTTGCGACCGACCCCGAACCCAAACCTCCCAGCCCTGAACTCACCCCCGCCCCTGCACCAGAACCGGCACCACCGCGCCCCGCCACTCGCAAATCGGGCCGTCCTCCTGCCCGTCGCGGTGGCCGCGTGGGCCGCAATCAATACACTCGGGATCGGGATATGAATGGAACGGACTCCAACTTCTCGACCCGATCTCCGCGACGCGGGCAGTCGCACGACATCGGCAGCGATTCGCCCAGGATCAATGGCATACATTTACACAGTGGAGAGTCCGGCAAGCCCAGTCGGCCGCGCTATGTGAACCAGCGCACCACCATGAACGAGATGAAGAGACGCGTGACGGCTATTCTCGAGTTCATCTCACGGATGCAGATCGAAATGGCTGTGGCCGGGGAGAGCACGACGCCTCCCAACAACGGTGCCGCCCGAGTCAATGGCAGTCTGTTGGAGAGTGCCCTGGCGCTGGCCGTTGGCGACATTGACCCAGCCAGCGCAACAGCCTCAGACAACGATGCCGCCAGTGGGCCGACGTCGATCGAAAAAGAGAAAGACTTCAAGGAACTGAGTAGCGTTGAAATGATGGATGTACTCACGCGTCATCTCCTCAAATGGCAGCAAGAGTATGGCAAAGTGGGAGAACGCTGATCACGTTTCTTGTTCCTTTCTTTTTCTTACCCTTTTCAGCATCTTGGGAGAAAATACATAAGATACCCTTCATCTCTGGTTGCACTTGCGTGGGGACATGTATAATATGGGAGCTTCTGCAGACAGCATCTTTGGGACTGACTGGATAGAGATCGGCGTTTTTACGAACTGTGTTACGGGAACTGGTACCTTGCTGAGAACTTTCTTTTTTTTCATTGAGGCGGCGTGATTGGATATTGCTGCAGCGGTCAAGCATCAAGCATATTTGCTGCATAAACCATCATCTCGGCGCTTTTGTTACGTGTCACGGGTGTTGAGGTTTTTGTCTTTGTATGAGGATGTTTCTGCGACTCGCTCGACTTCTTAAGTGGGTTTAATTGCTTTCTTGAGCTATAGCTTATCTGGATGACCCTTTTGCTGTAGCTGACTTCTAATCATGGTGCGTGGGCACTGGGCTCTTTGCTCGCTATGGTAGATAGGAGTGTATCTCTCATCATCTGCACCAGTGTCTCCGATCTTGAAGAGTGTAGAGTGTATCTCTCATCTGCACCAGTGTCTCCGATCTTTAAGTGTGTAGCGTACATGTTGCAGAGCCTTCGCGGCCAGGCGCCTGCCCAGAGAAATAAGAGCCCGCTCATGGAGTCAGCAAAACGATGTCGTTACAGATGCAGGTACAGTACAAGTACCTTGTCATCACGTGCCGGCCGTCCGAGTATCCTTGGCCACGTGACCCAGCGAGTCACCATTAGCTCCTGCGTAGTTTACCTTCCACCTTCCAACCACCAAGAACTTCAAAGTAATCCCACATTGCCCCTTCCCCTGGACTGCTTCGAACTGTGATACTATATACAGCAGGCCACCCGATAGGTAATTAGCCAGCCAGATAAGAAAAGCGCCACACAATCCACCCGTCGTACTCGAATCTCCGAGTTGGGTTCCGGTATATATAACCACGCCGGAGGAGCATGAAGCTGCCGCGTGCTAGACCCGCGGACCTGTGTAAGGAACCACCAAACTGTAGGTTTCTGATGGGAGCTGGTTTGTCGAGCTGATAATACATACCGAGTCGAGTCGGGTTGATCAAGCATAGTATATCCTGCTAGCTAGTGCGTGATCATCGTGTTCGAAAAACGACTCGACCCGACAGGACCTTGGCAGGATGACCTGCTCCGGGAGCTAGAGCCTGTGTTTCAGACCTACGGACCACACCAGAGGTACCTCGTCCTGCAGTGGCTCAGCTCTGCTGCGATTTCTGATCGAAAGAGAAGAAAGAATGGGGCGATGAAGAGTCGGGGTCTGGATGGGCTTGATCAAAGAAGGTGGGGGAGGATTATTGTGCTTTGTCCTTTTTGGTACTTTCCTTTCATGCTCTTCAGACAGAATTGCGATGGGAATCTTGCATATAGTTTGAGCCGGGTGGATGGCGTGGGGATATACTGTTGGTGCGAGGAGAGAAGAAGGGAAAGGGGGGAGAATGAGCTATAACCTACTGAGGGTGCCTGGCATGGCATGAGAGGGATGTCGTGATGAAGTATATGGGGCACGGGGTAGGAAAAGGTATTGAATGTCACCTTTAGTCTGGATATATACAAAGAAGACTTTCGATAGTATAGATAGAAACATAGGAGATTGTGCTGTCAATCGATTGAAAATGTATGAATATCATTGTTGAGAAAATACCACCTGAATCAGCAGTAGTACTCGTCACTGTGCGAGAGACCACGTGCTTTCCTGCTCTCACTTCACAACATGTATGGCAATTCGAGAGTACACTTGGACTACTAGTGGACTACTCCTGGCTCTACAAGGCAACACTCCCCCCCGGAAATAGATCAACCACCCTCCCGAAAACCGGGCCCATCCGTGCGGGGCAGCGGGAAAGAACCGCGGGGGGGAGGGAGTGGGGCAACGGCAACCAGGCCTGTATATCACATCCAGTCAGGTAGCGCGAAATTGGGGTTATAGTGCATGATGGTGTGCCGGAACGCCAGGAACAAGACGATATAGATAGTCGCATCGAGCCACGCGTAAAAACCACCCCTTCCAGAACTCCAAGTCCTCCCATAGGCATACGTTTTTCCACAACATGTTTGATACCGCGCAGAGCAACCAATTAACGGGGCCTGCGCTGCCCAGACCGAACCAGATGAGGGCGAGGTGCTCCGCAACGGGGTCGGCCATGGCTACACTCCTCTGTCAGGTTACTCGCGCAGGGGAGATTCTGGCCTGTGGCGAGGATATGGATACAGGAATAATTGGGGGTGACTACTGAGTAGGGCACAGCGGGGTACTGATCGGTTGGGTTGATGCAGGGGAGTACTGTACCAGTTGTCTTATATAGACATAGGGCTATCGATCTGTGCAGCTTTTAGGCTTAGTTTGGGACGGAGATCTTCAGCTATGCGCTTTGAGAGGAAGGAAGTGAAGACATGCTCCGTAGGAGATACCGGGATTGGGCGGGAAGTCTCGCTGGAAGAAAGGCCAGTCTCATGGGTGACTTGGCGGTATCGGGAATGGTCCCTTTCATTTTGTATATGAGCTAGACTGAATGATTGAGGCTGAGATAGTGCGAGGAATTATGTTGTTGGTGTGAGTAAAGGGAGCAAAGAAGGAGAGCAGGATGCCGTATACTGAGGGTGCTTAGCATGGGAGGGATGTCTGGACCAAGTCCTGTACACGGCACAAGCTACTTAGAAGATAGTCAGAAGCACTTTGAAGCTTAGAATGAATAGATACGAAGAAGAGTTGGAGAGTAATGTAAGTATTCTTCCGTGAAAAAGCCGAATAGGTATAAATGTCAAATGCCAAATGTCATAATTTGGAAAAAGAAAACCCCACTTGAATCAATCTACAACCACTGATACAGCAGAGCTTTCTCAGCAGTAAGCAGTGCAAGAGAAATCACTTAAGCAGATAGTCTAGCGCCAGGCAGGTTGATCGTGGACTGAACAACACATCCCCCCCATCCTAAATAAAAGAATTATCCTTCCGGCAAACGGGCCCATCCGCGCGGGGCAGCGGCAAACAACGCGGGGGGAGTGGGGCTGGAGACCAGCATCATCTTCAAAGACAGGTCGTCACATCAATGAGACGACAATGAGAACAAATAGTTTCACCAGGATCCACTTAGAAAGCCAGCCAAACCAGTACCCTTCGTCGCCGCATATATTGAACCCCATCCACGCCGCGGGCATGCAGGTCAACAATCCGAGAACGCAGGCGGCGCCGAAAGCGAGCCAGATGGCCATCAGCTCCCCGGCCAGCCATTCTCAAGGTACTGGTGTTGCCATTCTTGTTAGGCTTTCACGACGGGGCGATTCTGTTGTGGGCTGTACCAGCTTGCTCACTCACGCGAGGGTCTAGATCCCAACATGTAGTCTTCCCTGAGCCGTGCCCCTCTCAATGCACACAGCATCTCCACCACTACAATCCATACTAAGCCCCCAACAACCCTCTCACACCGTCTCCACAACAAAAGCTAGATTATTATCCACATCTCAGTATTCTACTCCGTTCATCCCCCAAAACACCCCACCTCAGCAGCCACCATCGACGAAACCCCAACACCAACCCCCCAACACCCCCCAAACCCAAGAAATACATACTAAACCCACACCCCACCAGAGCCACTTCATCAAAAAGTCCATCCAAAATAACCTGTCTGCGTGGATCTGCAGCCAAAAACCCCATAGCAGGGCTCGGCTATCAGCCCTGCAAGTGCTGTCTCTCTCAACAAGCACCCCGTATGGTCTAGATGGAGACGACGGTTGTGGGTCACCTAACGGTTTCCTGCTTCAGACCTGGGTTCGAACCCCAGTACGGGGGAATTTCTTTTTTGGCGGCCCCTCGAGGAAGGGATGGTGTCATGGGGATGTCATAATGTTTTCTGAGGGGGAATGGCACGGAGGACAGGGGGGGGGCGGGGTGATGTCAAGGGCTTTGGTTGGGAGCATCGCGGGGGGTCCACAACTGAAGTTTTGAGTGGGCGTGGGTGAGATGCAGTCTCGAGGCAGGAGATCTCGGAAGTAGCACTACTAATTGCGAAGAAGAACGCTATGTGAGGGTCTGATTTGGGGGTTTCGTGTGGTGAGGTGAGGACGTCATCGCTGGAGAAGCCAGCAGCTATCGCGGCAATGGGAGGCTGCTGCTAGATTAGTGCTAGTCGATCCGTCGAGCCATTATCGAGCACTACAGTGAGCTCACCAGCTCAAGCAGAGTAGATCTGGGCCAAAAGGTCTGCTACGGTGGGATAGGTTCTATCTGAAGACGTCAGCGATGGAGCCTTGAATGAGAACTTCCATCCCGATTGGGAAACTTGCGTACAGCCTCAATTCTATGTCAAGTGACCTTGTGCACTGCGTCTGTTCTGGTTGACGCCAGTGTCCTGTATAGGAGCGATGGTTTCTTCGCGATGGATGCTTGGAAGTGGCTGCAAGGGATGGGGCTGCAGAAACCCAAATTGGAGAGAGACTGCGGCTGCCATCCCGGCCAATGGCTCGCTTACAGAAGGTAGTCTAGATAGTATAAGATACGCTACCAGTCTGCTTTACAAGTCGGCTCTAAGCCCCAGAGAATCAATTCAATATATCACACACAGAGTGAATATCCGCTATTATATCTTACTTCTATACCTATTGACTGCTATACATCATGACTATTACAATTCAAACCACTGGGAAAGAGAGCGAACATACTACTGTGCCCCAGCACGATGGCCATAAAGACAATGCAGCACCAAAGTTTCGCTTGTCTCACCCAGCTAACCTGCCTGGTGTTGCACCGGAAAAGCTGGAAGCTCACGCACTATCCGCCTGGGCGCTTTTGTTGCACTTTTACAACCGTCAGGACAATGTGGCCTTCTTGTTTCTTCGGAATGAAGCACAAAAAGAGGATACATCCATAACAAAGTCCATCGCCTCGCACCAAGTGTCATATGACATCCATGAGGATCAGACCCTGCAAGAGCTTCTGGATCCTTTGTTTAATGTAAATAAGGCCGCGAGCTCGGAGAGTCAGCAGTCGATGTCTGCAGTATTCATCGACCAGAACCAAGATACATCTCTGGAGCAAGTCATCGCGGAGCATAAGGTATGGCCATCAATCTGCCTCAAGTTCATAACTAATCTGAATCTAGTATCAAATGATAGCCAGTCTTCATCCGACGAAGATGGGAGTGACTGCTCGGATATACTCCCATGCCCGCGAGCCATCAGCCGATCTGTCAGCCGTTGTTGAAGCATATAAAAACATATGGAAGGCGATGACAGACATTCCATCTTCGAAGATAGCCCACCTCAATCTTGCCACAGAATATGATATCAAACAATTCAAGAAGTGGCACGCGGACCTGACCCCAAGATCACCGGGAACAATCCATGGATTGATCAATCGACACTACCGATCAACCCCTGAGAACATTGCGATACGCAGCACCACTGAGAAACTTACATTCCAGCAGCTTGGCGAGATGTCTGCGGCAATTGCCCACGAGCTAGCGGCCAGAGGCATCAAACCAGGCAGCAGAGTCGCAGTCTACCTGGAAAAGTCCGCATGGGCGATTGTAGTCATCATAGGTGTCCTGCGTGCAGGAGCAGCTTTAATTCCGCTCGATGCTTCATGTCCGGGGGACCGACTGGCCTATATTGCCCAGAAAACGGAAATCCAAGCATTGATCACCCAGACAAAGCTCACCGACAGAATCAGCGAGTCCGTTCGTCAGAACATCGAGGTCATCACACTCCCCAGCCTAATGCAGCTACAAGCCCCAGAGGGCTGGCACACGGAGACGGCCAACGACCCTTGGCAGGTTGCGTATATCATGTTCACGTCCGGAAGTACAGGTAAGCCCAAAGGCGTGGTGCATATACACCAAGCAGTCGCTGGAGGCTTGCAAGATGTTACCGAGGCCTTGCACATGGGCTCGGATACACCCCAACTGCAATATGCTTCGTTTTCATTTGATGCCAGCATTCTGGAGATTTTTGGGCCTTTGATTGTTGGGGGGACTGTTTGTGTTCCATCGCCGGAAGAAAAGGTAGAGGACCTGCAATCAGTTATGCGCAAGCTCGAAGTCACAGATGCCACCTTGACTCCAGCAGTGGTCGCCCAGCTCGAGCCAGCAAGCTTGCCTTCGCTCAGAGAAATTTCCATCGGAGGCGATGCGCCAAGCTCAAACATTCTTCGCAATTGGTCTCGACACGTCACGCTCAATAACCTATACGGCACCACAGAAACATCCGTGTGGGATACGATCAAGACCGGCATGAAGTCAGACGATCACCCTAAGAGTATTGGGAGAGGCATCCGAGCCAATTGCTGGGTTGTGGATCCAGACAACGTGGAAAGGTTACTCCCCATCGGCGCTATAGGCGAGCTACTCATTCAGTCTCCATATCTCGGGAAGGGTTACCTGGACGAACCAGACCAGACTTCATCAGCATTCATTGAAACTCCGAAGTGGTATGCTCACTTCCAAGACACCGCAGGGGTTCCAATGTATAGAACCGGTGATCTTGCTAGGCTCGATGCTGAGGGCGATGCCATCTTTATTGGTCGCGAGAGCGGCTTCGTTAAAATCCGCGGCATGCGTGTTGAGCTGACTGAGATCGAGAGAGTCATTGAATCCGTGATCGCTCCGCGTAAAGCTGCAGTCGTCCTGGCCAGCGTTGACGGGAAAGAAGAGAATCAGTAGATTATGGCTTACGTCGAGACTCCGCATGATATCATTCCGTCGTTGGCTGACGACATGCATGCGGCACTGAAAGGACAATTGCCTTCGTATATGATATCCACGGTATTTATACCCATCGGGTTAATCCTATTGACCGAGTCGAAAAAGAAAGATAGACAGCGTTTGCGTGCATCAATTTCTCGAATGAACGGCACAGAGCTAGTTGCGCACAGACCAGGAGCCTCTTCCATGACACAGTGGGAGAAGATCGATCCGAGAAGAGAGTTCGCCGTCAAGCTTAGCAACATAGTCGCAGATATATTAGAAGCCAGACAGGATCCTGTCGCTGAGTGTCTCCGAGATCATGACTTTCCGGTCTCAAGTGTAGGGCTTAATTCCGTTGAAACGGCGCAACTAACCGGGATCATGCGACGAGACTGGGGAATGGAAATCAAGGTTGAAAAACTGCAGGAGCCAGGATTGACAATCGGGCGACTTGAAGAATTATTCCACAGTAACGCCGGAGCGGCTGACAATGAGACGGCAGTGGATATCCTCGACGAGCTAAACCATATCCTACCGCAAATAAACTTGGTGCCTCACCACACCAAGAAGACCATATTTGTGACATCAATTACCGGGTTCCTTGGAAGTCAAGTGCTGCGCTGTCTACTAGCGGATCCCAATGTCGGACATATCGTAGGGTTAGTCCGGGCAAAAGAGATATCCGAAGCCGAGCAAAAGATCCAATATCATGCTGAGATCGGTGACTGGTGGACGGGAAGTCTGGACCCGCGTGTCGAGATCTGGCTTGGAGACTTGAGCAAGAAAAGACTGGGGCTGTCTGCTGAAAAATGGAAGTGCCTCACTGGAGAGTTGAGCGAGACCCGAATTGATGGCATTATCCACAGCGGAGCGAGAGTCAACTGGCTTGACTCTTATGAGAGTCTCCGACCGGCTAATGTCGACAGTACCGTGGAGGTTCTTTCTGCTGTGGCGATGCGATCCAGCCCATGTGCTCTGACCTATGTCTCAGGCGGGTATCTTCCAGCAGCGGATGAATCAAAAAAAGACATCGCGAGGAAGCTTGAGCATGCCAGTGGATATGATCAGACCAAGATGTTGTCGAGGCTGTTAGTGGAGCAGTACAACGACAACGTCTACAGGCTTGAGGACCCATATCTTCCAACCGCTCAGACGATTCAGCCTGGCTATATTGTTGGAACCAGGACCGAGGGTGTCGCTCATACGGAGGACTTTCTGTGGCGGCTTGCGTCCAGCATTCTCAGTCTTGGCGCGATCAGCGAGGATTTGACCGACGCGCACATTCCTGTAGCTGGCGTTGATCAGATTGCACGATTGGTAGTCGAGAGCACAACTAGAAGGACACCCCAGTCTAAGCGTGACGTCGACTGCTGGGATGGGCTCACGCTAGGTGAGCTATGTGCGATACTGCAGCGGGAGACGGGGATTACGGTGAAGACCACGCTACACGACGAGTGGATGCGCGCACTAAGCTCAGACGTCAGTTCTAGATCCGACCATCCATTTCTTCCGGTGCTGCAGTGGTTTGAAGACAACCAGTGGCAGTTTGCGAGCAATGTGGTGGATGATTCTCATGAGCCAGTCTTTGAGCGGGAGGAGATTGTGGAGGCCCTTGTCAGAAGCGTATCATATCTGGTGGAGACTGGATTCCTGCCTTGCAAAGACAAGAGGAAGAAACCAGAAGGGAGTGGAAAGATGCCGAGATTCAAGAGAAGTAACTAGATAAGAGACAGAGGAGGACGAGAGTCGAACAGAATGATTGTTGATGAGGCATGACCGAGTAAGAGTAAGTAGATGTGGTAGATGTGATGGGCAGCCCCGCCCCGCGGTAGTCACGCCGTCCGTCGATCATGCGACATCTTTTGCTTCTTGCTTCTTGCTTCTTGCTGCTTTCTCCCTTATACTTACTGCTTTCTCAAATCCATCGGATGCATCATCCTCCCCTCTCCATCAATACGATTTGCTGGTTCTTGACATGGCATGATCTGCCGTCAAGGTATTTCCGTCATTTTCGGTCAACAGTAAGCAGATTTACTTGACTTGATTTGCCAATCGTTGAATTGATTCTCACGGGGCAGTGCTGCAGGCCCACTCTAACCACTGCTTAAAGTATGCGCATCGGAGACATTCTCAATGCATGAAACGGCTTATCCTGTCCCCAAATCCAGTTGCCCTGCCTTGAAAATGCTGGATTGTACCAGTGATCTGATATGAGTAAAGCCGACTGGTGCCACTGGTGGAGCCCACCTTGGAAGATACTTTTGCCTCGGGCAAACTTTGCATCAGAGGCTTTCCAGGCACTCAACGCCATTGACGGATACGCGGCCAGGGCCCCACACTTTCTGGTCTGATTGCACAAATTGTGCTGCTGACAAACCTGCACAACCATGATGTGCCCTGATTTTAGCCACATTCGGGACGGAGACTTATACCGAAAGGGGAGGTGATCAAGGGGGCCCGCCCTGGATGAAGAATGTTCGGCAAGTTGGGTCTGCTCCATCAGCTCTTTGGATGCCGAATTTCGAGCGGTTGAACATCTCCACTCTGGATTTCAAATCATGTTTCCAACGGATTCTATCCAGGCCGTATAAAGGTCGCTGGTCGTCCGGTTAGGCCCTTATCAGTCTCAGTGTGGCATATTCCAAGACATTTTACACATCCTCACCATGTCTATCCCCGACGTTGATATCGCGCCCGCTCCGGGCATCTCCTACTTCACCCCCGCTCAGGATCCTCCCGCAGGTACGGCAGCCAATCCTCAGACTAGCGGCAAGCCGGTCCCCAAGCTCTATCAGCCTCTGACCATCCGCGGTCTTACTTTCCAAAACCGCCTCGGTGTAAGTGGTGTGTCTGCATGCACTTAATGGGCTAATAGCTGACTCTGCGGTTTCTAGCTTGCGCCCCTCTGCCAATACAGTGCCCAGGATGGCCACATGACCCCCTACCACATTGCCCACCTGGGTTCGATCGCCCAGCGGGGTCCCGGATTGATGATGATCGAGGCGACTGCCGTGCAGCCCGAGGGTCGTATCACCCCGCAGGACGTGGGTTTGTGGAAGGACTCGCAGATCGAGCCCATGCGCCAGGTCGTCGAGTTCGTGCACAGCCAGAACCAGAAGATCGGAGTGCAGTTGGCCCACGCCGGACGCAAGGCCAGCACCGTTGCTCCTTGGATCTCGACCGCCGTGGTTGCCACCGAGAAGGTCGGCGGGTGGCCGGACAACGTCAAGGGACCCAGCGACATCGCCTTTGCCGACTCCTTCCCCCAACCCAAGGCGATGACCAAGGACGACATCGTCCAGTTCAAGAACGACTGGGTTGCTGCCGTCAAGCGCGCGCTTGCGGTCGGGGTTGACTTCATCGAGATCCACAACGCCCACGGATACCTTCTCTCTTCTTTCCTGTCCCCCGCTGCCAACAACCGCACCGACGAGTACGGTGGCTCTTTCGAGAACCGCATCCGCCTCCCCTTGGAGATTGCCCAGCTGACCCGTGACACGGTCGGCCCCAACATGCCCATCTTCCTCCGCATCTCGGCTTCCGACTGGCTGGAGGAGGTCCTCCCCGAGCAGAGCTGGAACAACGACAGCACCATCCAGTTCGCCCAGGAGCTGGTCAAGCAGGGCGCCGTCGATCTGATCGACATCAGCTCCGGCGGTGTGCACGCTGCCCAAAAGGTGAAGTCCAGCCCCGGTTTCCAGGTTCCTTTCGCCGCTGCGGTCAAGAAGGCTGTTGGTGACAAGTTGCTTGTGTCGGCGGTTGGTGCCATCACCAACGGTCGTCAGGCCGAGGAAATCATGGAGAAGGACGGCATTGACGTGATCCTCGTTGGCCGTGGATTCCAGAAGGACCCCGGCTTGGCCTGGACCTTCGCTCAGCACCTGGATGTGGAGATCTCCATGGCCAGTCAGATCCGGTGGGGCTTCACGAGACGTGGCGGTACTCCGTACATCGACCCGTCGGTGTATAAGCCGTCGATTTTTGACATGTAATGTGTTATAGATTGTACATAGACAAGCGTTGAACATACAGTTGCTCTCAAGAATTACTATCAGAATTTCTGAACTCTCTTATTTTCCGTCTTGTCATCAAACAAGAACAGTAGGTGTCGCCAGAATCATAGTTCCCAAGCCCCCATCCCTTCAAACCGACACCACCACCCGGGATGACCGACAGACTCTCACATCCACAGATCTATTCTCTCTGCATTCCCATAAGCTAGTCAAAACATCATCATCTATATTTACCAACACGACTGCAATGATAAACGAAATCTTCCACCAAAGCCAACGCAACCAAGTACTGTACAGCGCATCTCACCCTCTTCCACAAATCAAGCCCCTAATCCTTCAAACCGGGCGTCTCCCCCACCCGGAACACATACTTGACCGCACTGGCCTTCCCATCCCGCAAATCCCGCATCGCGCCCTCGACCCCCAACAGCCCCTTCTCGCGGACCTCCCACGGATGGCCCTCGAACGTGCCCTCGGCCAGCGCCCTTCCAAACCACCGACAAAACACAAAGCACAGATCCCTTGCGTCCGCCGCCCCGCCCACCTCGTGCGCACTGCTCACCCACGTGTTGGTCTTCACGCCGGGCGATACGTCGTACGGACAGGGCAGCACGTAGTTGACCTGGCCGCCGGGCGCGACCACATTGCGGATGACCTCGGAGCTGGTCTCGCTGACGATCGTGTCGAGGATGTGTTCTAGCTTCAGTTCCGAACCCTGGGAGGGGGATGCGGCAGCGAGGGCGGCCTTCACGCCTGCGATGGTCTTGGCTGCGCCGTCCCGGTAGTCGACGATCGCGTCGCCGTGCGCCGGGTCCAGGAAGCGGGAGATGTAGCTGGCGCCGCGGCCGGCGATGGCGATGATGGGGTGGATGTTGCTGAGGCGGGCGAGTTTGATGGCGAAGGCGCCGACGGCGGTGCTGCCGCCGTAGATCAGGAGGGGGGTGCGCTTGGTGGCTGGGGCTGGGGCTGGGGGCGTCCAGGGGAGCGGGAGGCGGTGGTGGTGGTAGAGCGAGACGATGGCGGTGAGCGCGGCGAGGGGGATGGTTGCTGCTTCTGTTGGTGTGTTAGTTTTTGTGTGTCTGTGTTTGCCATGGGTTTGGGTATGACCCAAGGAAGGGGGGGGGGCCAGGGTACACACCCTCGAAAGACACCTTGGCCGGGATGTGGAAGGTGGTGTGGCTCCAGGCGACGGCGTATTCGGCGTACGAGCCGCCGGGGGCCAGCATTTCGTGGAAGGCGCCCACGCGGTCTCCGGGCTGTTTGGCTGGTTAGTTGCGTTTCTGGCATACCATGATGGATGACGATGCTTTAGGAAGATGGAGATGGAGGGCACACACCTTGAACTCAAACACATTCCCGCCCACCTTCTCGACCACGCCCGCGATGTCGTCGCCCTGGTTCACCCCGTCCTTGATGTGCGCGTATCGCTCCCCGAACGTCTCGTCGTCACTGCCCGCCAGCTCGGGCACCTTCCAGTCCTTCGGGTTGGACCCGGACACGACCACCCGGATGAGCACCTGGTCGTCGTTGATCTCCGGGATCGGGGAGTCGACCAGCTTGCAGCTGGGCCCGGGGAGGTTGATGATCTGCTTCATTGTAGGGGATAATAATATGCGGTTATGGGCGAGTCGTTGAGTTGCTGGCAGCTGTCACTGCCACACAATAAATAGTCACTCGCCCCCCCCCCCCCGGCTTGGATTACCCCATTGTGGCCTCACTTTTTTCTCTCTCTCTCCAAAGAAGTAATTATTAAGCAGGGTGGAGACGGTGGATGTTTTGACGTCACCTGAAGAAGCTTATGTTGGGGTTGTGCAGTCCGGAAGGGTGGGAAATGCGCACCCGAGTTAGAGTCGAAGGATATGGGCCTGGATTGGGGATGCAGTGCCTAGGCAGATCTTCAACGGATGTTGTTCAGCCGTGATCCGTTCTGTCGGGCAACGGCAATTGTTGAAGAAAGTGGAGCCTCCCCGAGACGGGGCCTACTCGAGTAGTAACTAACTACTACCAAGGATCGACCGGTTTGAAAGCTTCTTGTTTCATATTTACATGTATTCGCCGCACCTTTAGCCTCTAGTCTATAGACTTTCTAGATCTATATCTACCCACCCTATAACCATAATGAAATGTCCAGGTCAATTTATAGCTTGCTCTTGGGCGGGATGTTCTTCAGAACAGCCGAGTTCCAAGGATAGGGGTCGAACACCAGATCGTTGACCGGGTTCTGGCTGGCCCGGCGGAACAGATCAGGGTAGACGTCGCCATCATACTTGCCCAGACTGCTGTCCAGCTGCCAGTCCGGAATCTTCCAGGCATCCACCAGCCGCACCGCGTGGGGCCGGATTTCATCCAGGAGCTTCATCACCGCGTTCTCCCGTGCCAAGCCAATCTGGCGGACCGTGACAGCGCTCGACGAGAAGAACTCGGAAGCCTCACGCTCCAAGGTGTGCAGAGCGTACAGACGGAACAGCTTCTGCAGGACCTCGGTCGTCGCTCCGTCCACGGCCGACGCCACCTCCTTCGAGTTGACGGCCTCGTAGAAGTTCTTGACAGCCAGGTACTGGGAGTGAGCAGTCGACAAGCGCCAGAAGTCGACCAGAAGACTGTTCCACGAGCGCTTCTCGACGTCCCGGTGCTTGAGCGCCTCGAAGGTCATGTGAGCCGTGCGCCAAGCAAAGGCAGCCACAATGTCGGCATCGTTACCGAGGATGTCAAACGACGCGCCCTTGTCACGACGGCTGAGGTAGGTCTGCAAGATCTGGGAGGTGTCGTTGCCGGTTCCCTTGCCAGCAAGAACAGCGCGAGCAGATTTCAAAAGCTAAATCAGTCAGCGGAAGTGTCTTGGCATATCGAAAACATCACGTCACTTACGTATCTCGCCACCTGCTGCGTCAACATGTAATTGTCGCCTTCCCAGGTGAGCGTAGGCAGATAATCCGAGTACCAGGGCCCAATGCCGCTGAAGCTGCTGTATCCGTGACCACCGCAGGCACGACGGCACACCTCAAGACCTTCACCAGCCGTCGTACTAGCCAATGCCTTGAGACCGCAAGAGGTAGCATGGAGATCGGCCAACAAATCCGCTCCAGCCCTCAACTGCTCAGGCCCAGCACCACGCTTATCCTGTCCCGGCTCCGAGGCAGCCTTCATGCGGGTCTGGTTCTCCTCGTAGAGTCGCTGCATGCCCCGACCGGTGAAGTGCAGGGCATACATCGACGCAAGCAAGGGAAGGAGACGGATCTGGACCATCTTGTAATTAAGCACCTGGTTCTCTCCTTCATGGCTCTTAGCATCGCGATCCTGGAACTGTCTACGCACAGCGCAGTACCGGGTGGCGATGGTAACACCGCGAGCAAGGACACCACCAGCTTGGAGGACAATGTTGGAACGGACCCAAGTCATGGTACCGTAAACCAAGGAAGGAGAAGCCGGGCGCTGGTACTCGCTAGTCGCCTGGTCCACGCGACAGAAGCGAGCCAGCATATTCACATGGGGGATCTTGACCTTGTTGAACAGAAGGAAACCATTGTCCATCGTGCTGGGAGAGTCAGCATAAATGTTAAACATGCAAATAACGGTCGGTACTCACTTGTATCCGAATTTCGGTCCGATATCACCCACGTATACGTTCTCCAAAGGCTGATGCGTCTCCATGTCACGGATCTGCACCACGAAAGGGTGAGGACCGTAGTTCTTGCCCTTGATGTAGAGCTGCGCCATCACTACCGCGTGGTTGGCGGTACGTCCCAGAGAGCCGATCCACCACTTGGAGGCAGTCAGCGTAGGGGAGTGGATGGTAAATGTCTTGTCCTCCGGGTTCCAGGTAGCAGTGGTCTCGAGTCCACGGACATTAGACCCGTGACCCAACTCCGTTTGCGCATAGCATCCCAGGATCTTGTAATTTTGAGCCGGCTCGTAGAAAAGCTTGTGTTGTTCCGGCGTGCCTTGTTCCCGCAAGGTGACCTAGCGCAAAGAAGTACCAATTAGTTCTCGGCCAGACCGGGATGGGCAGAGAATTGGTCCAGACATACCAGAAACATAGTGGCATGCAGACCATAAGGCGTAGGCTCTGAAAGCAAGTCATTTGCAGTGTGGAATTCGGCGTCCGACCAGCGGTTTTGCTCAGCCAGCTGATGCAACCGCTTGGCCTTGGCCAGGGACCGTTGAATGCGCTCGGTCCGGCCTAAGGTGTGGTTGTCGGACTTGTCGAATACTTTCTCCGACTTGAGGATGGACAGGATTTTGTCTTGACGGTCAAGGAAATCTTTCGTGTGAAGCAGCTCACCAAGCTTGTCCACTGCGACATTAGACTGAGCACGCTCCTCTTGAAGCAAGTGCGAGCCCTGCGGGTCGGCCGGCTTGAGGGCCTGAACCCAATCGGGAGGTGGAGATGGCATTGTAAGATAGAATGAATCTGGGGAAAAGAAAAGCCGTTGGAAGAAACTGTGGAAATGAATCTGGGGGACAGGGGGTGGGGGAGGCGTTATAAAGAGGCCAGATTCCGGGGGGGGAAGTTGGTGAAGCGAGAATAAGCCCAGCAGCCTTGGGATTATTCGGTCGAGACCCGTCGGCTGTCGGCGCGGCCCAATGCAGTAAGTACCGAGGCAAGTTTTGTTGCAGCCTTGGTGCCTGAATACGGGGAGGGGTGAAGAGGCAAAATTGCCGACTCGCAAATCTCCATCGGACCGATCTTTACCGAGTCATCCTCCCTCAGCTGCAATGCAAGCACTCGTGTTTATCAAAACGCTAACTTATCACGAGCTAAGATCAGCAGCAGTTCGTGTCGATTGCTGGTCTCATGGCTTCAAACTATCAGGACTGCGATGAGTCGGACTCAGCTTCACATGTATTGTCACAAGCTGTGTGAGTTGCTTTGTGGTGCTGCCCAGCCTGGCCACCATGCAATGATGATATATAGATTATTCGAGAATGAGATCACAGCACCATGTTCCTGAGAGGTGCGCTCAAAGTTCTGGTCGGATATCAAACGAACACTGGCTTTTCTATCTACTATGAAGAATCTCAGTTGCATGCTTATCGAGGCGACCTAAAATTGAGTTCCGATTTGCAAGTGACTAGCCTGAGGCCACAAACGAGAGCCCGGTAGATCCACTCTCACATGTTGAAGCTGAACCAGCATGGTCCACGTGCACCTCTCACACCCTCGCTCTCGATGCCAGTAAATGAGGCTCAGTCTACGTTCCGATCCACAACGATCGCGTTCCCCGTATCTTTTGATAATTCCGCCATAGCTTCAACTTGCTGCGAGTTCCCGTACGTGTCTGCATACCGCGCCAGCATCCACTCTTGCACCGTGATGGGAGGATATTTGGCCGCCTCCGTTTCCCCCTTGCAACTCGGAATACACTCCACCAGAAAGTCCGGGTTGCCTGAAAAGAAGAACGGCGCACTGTATCGCTCCTCTCCACTTCGATTGATCACTCGGTGGAGGTTGGATAAATATCGATCGTTCGTCCAGCGCATCATCATGTTCCCCAGGTTGACCACCAACGCGCCGGGTACAGGGACAACATCTGCCCATTGAGATGCCTCGCGGTCCCAGACCTGAAGTCCGCCTTTATCGTCTTGCAGGAGGATAGTGAGACCACCGAAATCCGTATGCGCGCCGATGCCTGCAAAAGCGACTCAGTACTGCTGTTTGTCGGGGTGTTGGTTCTGCGTACCTCGCTCCAAGCTCGACTCGTCCGTTTCCTGCGGCGGGTAGTGCAACAGCCGCAGAATAGTCGCTGAGTCGCGGCAGAACTCGTCGAACCAGTCCTCTTGCAGATCTAATGTCAATGCCAGTATGCGGAAGATCTCCAGAGACAGGCAGGTCATGAGGCTGTGGTAGTCATTCACCACAGCGCGAAACTGCGCTGGATCACTGATTTCTTCCGGATATTTGTTCGCACCCTGCGAGAACTTCCCAGCCTGCACGGCAGGATGATCTGGGGCCAGCTCTCGGCAGAGGTAAAATCCTTCTTTCAAGTCGCCGGGTCCTCGTTTTTCGAAGTTCTGTGCGCGAAGGTGTTCGTACCCCAGGTTCGGTGTGCCGATGTCTAGTCGTATTACGGGTCAGCTTACCCCTAGTCGCTTAAGCCAAATCGATGATTCAATGAGCGGCCTACCCATGCTGTATTTCTCTTTCACCTCAGCTGGGAGACTGAACAGGGTTCGGGCTTGCTCGAGAACATTCTGTTGAATGTCAAGGGGAATACCATGGTTGACCAGCTGGAAGAATCCGTGTCTCTCGCAAGCTTCTCGGATCTGCCGGACGAGGGTTGCTTTCTTTTCTGGATCGGCTTCATTCCAAACTACAAAGCATTGTCAGTGATGCATAATATCCACATCTGATATCGGCCTCGAACCTCCAAAGTCAATTATAGGCGGTGCTGTGGCCATCGTGTTGCTGTTGACTGATTTGTGTTGAGTTCAGTGAAGTACTGCGGGGTAAGCGCTTGGACACGTGGACTTGCATCCCCTGGCTTTCAAGCTACTTTGATGAATAATGATGCACAGAAATGAAGAAGTCTTAAATTTGGGCTAAACTGCTAAATATCGAATTGTTCAAAGGCGGACTGGCTAAACAAAGAACATTCTGTTATCAAAGCTTGGAAAGAACGCCATCTGGTTTGAGGATCGACAAATGCCTCCTTTGGATCTCCTTAATCGAACGGCATCTACTCGAATCAGCAATGGAACGAACCTTCATAAACAGGAGCCTTACCCAGCTAGTGCCATCGTGATCATTAGCTCGTTGCGCAGGATCTGAATGGCCAGCTCCACACCTTTCTGACCGTCGTACTAGAGGTTTGTCATTAGTTATGCCATCTCAGGAGATGAAAAAGAATTCGTACCGCCAATCCCCAGATCGGAATTCGTCCGATGAAGCAGAAATCTGCGCCCAGAGCAATGGCCTTGAAGATGTCGGAACCGCGTCGAATGCCTCCATCGATTGCGATCTGGATACGACCCTTGGCAACCGGTGCGCATTCTCGCAGAGCATCCAGAGTCGCCGGGACACCGTCGAGTTGGCGACCCCCGTGGTTGGAGATGACGACGCCGTCCAGGCCGTATTGAATGGCGAGTTCAACGTCTTCGGGGGTATATACTGTGGAGATGTTCATAAGAGATGGTCTCGGACGAGTCAGCTGAGGCTTGTTCTTACCTCCTTTCAACCAAATTTGCAGCGTTGTATTTTCCCTGAGCCAGGGGATGGTGCTTTCCCAGTCCAAACTTGGATCTTACGCAACCTCAAGTCAGCAAGCGCGGGCACCATCGTGGTCCGAATTTTTCAACCTACCGTACTCAGTCCGGTTGGAAGTATCACCGCCGCAACTTAGGATATTCGGCCATTCCATATCCTCCGGCAGGGTGTAGTTGTTCCGGTGCTCATTCAGCCGTTTCCCTAAAACAGGCACATCTACCGACAAGAAAAGCGCCTTGTAGCCTGCCTTCTCGGCTCGGCGCAGAAGCTGCAGCGTGATTGACCGATCCCTTAAAACACACATCTGCATCACATATGGATTCCCACGGCCCTGACTGGCCACATCCTCCAGCGAATAGTTCGAATATGAGGAAAGACCCATGCAGATGCCATGATTGGCAGCAGCGCGTGAAGTTGCCAGCTCGCCGTCGGGGTGCGCAAGTTTGTGTGACGCTGCTGGGCTGAATCCGATAGGGAGGGATACCTGTTCGCACAGGAGTTTAGTATCGGTACGACACACCCAAATTGAGAGAATGGAGAAAGTGCTGTACCTTAGTGCCAAGAATCTCAGTACTAGTGTCCACCTTGTCTACGTTGATCAAGATGCGCGGGCGGATTTTGTACCGGTCGAACGCCGCCTCATTCTCACGCAGTCTGAAGTTGTGTTAGGGATGTAGGCGTGACAATTGAATTGGACGTACGTGATAAGATCCATGGCGCCCTCATTATAGTACTCTATTGCGCGTTAGCTAGACACTTGTGCTGGCCATGCTCGGTGCAGCAGCATACCTCTGACCATCACGGGGAGGTTCTGGCTCCCAAGAGCCTTGAGATCTGCGATGCAGCTGACATTTTTGTCATAGCTCACTCCACGGTGGGCCATTCTCAAGATATTCAAGGGGAAAAGAAGTCGGGCTAGGAGAAGGTGATGGTAAGAGAGTAATGGCTAGACCGCAGAGAATGGGTGTTGCATTCAGCATCTTGTTGGTGTTATATGAGAGGGAAGCACACTGGCGCATGACACTTTTTAGGACGGGATTTCCCAAAAAGGTATGAGAGTGCCATAGTAAGACGCAGCGCATCTACTATGCAAGATTCCGCATCTCCAAACACCGGTCGGAGATATCGTCTAGGATAGAGGGAGATTGCTTTCACGTCAATATAGTTGTTTTACAGCCGAGGAAGGTCTTCCCCGGGACCAGCTTCCTATCCGGGCCTACTACTCGACCCCGTCCATCTCATACACCGCGGGGTCCTTTCTTCTCCCCTCATCCTTCACCCTCATCTCTCATTGACAATACCATATCGAAGATCGAGTTTCACACCGCAGCAACAGACACAAATCCCTTCACTATGGCGAGGATCTTTCTGTAAGAACGAACATCCCCACAGCCCACGAGATCATGCTCACCACTCTTCAGGACTGGTGCGTCAGGCTACATTGGCGGCGAAGTCCTCCACGCTCTTCGATCAGCTCTACCCAAATGCGATTACAGTGTCCTCTTGAGGGACGAAGAGAAGGCGAAGAAAGTCCAGGCTGCTTACCCTAACGTGCGTGTGGTGATGGGGGATCTAGACGCTGCTGCTGTCATTGAGAAGGAGGCCACTCAAGCAGACGTTGTCGTCCGTGAGTTTGCTCTCTTTGAATTCCATCGATCATATTGCTAACCACATTCTCTCCCTATAGATGCCGCAAGCACCAACCACATCAAGAGCGTCGAAGCCATCGCACGTGGTCTGTCAGCAGAAGCTAGGACGAAGCCTGGTCAGTAGTGATGGTCGATTTGAAACGCGAGCAATAGTTGATAGTGATTACCAGGCTACTGGATTCAGATGTCCGGCGCCAGCGTTCTTTCCATGCCCGATATTGAAAGGAACACTTTCGGCCAGGCATCAAGCAGCATTTACAGCGACATCGACGGCGCCGAGGAAGTGCATGCGCTGATCAAACGCTACTCATCTAAGCGCATTGTTGATAACTTTGTTGCCACCTTGCCTCCGGCGGCCACGCGACCCAAGACTGCTCTGATCTTCGGCCCGATTATCTATGGTCGCGGCCGAGGCGCTGTCAAGCAGCGAAGCATTCAAATTCCCGAGCTTGCGCGGGCCAACCTGCAGCGTCGGGAGGGTGTTCAAGTGGGTAAGGGCGAGAGCACCTGGAACAACATCCACATTGCAGACTTGAGCAACATCTTCGTCAAGTTGGTGGAGAAAGCACTAGATAATGCGGACGGCGAGTTGTGGAATGAGGATGGGCTATACTTTCCGGTGAACACCGAGATGCTGGTGAGTGAATTGACTGTTCGTGTCGTACCCCAGCCGCTAACAGCAACTAGTCCTTCAAGGAGATCTCACAGCGCATCGCACAGGAGGTCTACAAACTCGGTCTTGCAGACTCAGCTTCTGTGAAGGAGGTTGACCCTAGCGAGGCGGACTCCATCACGCCCCATGCTGCAGTTATTCTGGGTACGAACGCGAGACAGGTGGCGCAAAGAGCTCCCCAGTACTTGAACTGGGTGCCCGAACGACATACGTTGGAAGAGGAGATTCCGCTTGCTGTCAGGGCTGAAGTAGAGGACTTGGGCTTGGCGTAGCTTCAAGGCTTTGATTAGAAATCAAACATATGTCCCCAAGCCATCATCGCAATCTTTAATGCATTTTCTTGATTGGCCCTGGGCTTCTGTTCGCATGTTCTTCTTGGTTCATAACATACATCATTATAACTTAACTGTCTTCGCCATTTCTTTTCCCTATCGACAGACGTCCCCACTAACCCCAAAGAAGCAAGTCGTTCCGACAGGAACCGCAGCGAAAAAGGAAAGGGATCCCGCGGAAAGTGAGGGGTTGCAGATTGTCGTGCTTCCTGATATAGCAACAACCTCTCCATTACCCCATATTCCCCATGATATTCAAGCTGAGTCTCATACTCAAATATTCTTAATTATACCATCGCTACGATTGTCAACCACTTCCGATGCCCATGGCAGGGTCCAAGGCATCAGGCAACCGATCCCGTCGCACCCACGCTTTGGGAGCCTGCAAGACCTGTCGTCGCCGACATGCCAAATGCGATCAACGGAGACCCTCGTGCCAGATGTGCCGGGCCAGCGGGGTGACATGTGAGGGGTTCACTGACGATATTCGCTGGGTAGCAGCACGCAAGCATCAATCGCCGCCGCGAACGAGGGACTGGAAAGTCAAGAAAGATCCGGCTAAGTTGGGCCCGAGACGTGTTCTTTACACAGGTGATTGACTCTGCCTCATCTCCATGATGGCCTCTAATGACTCAATCCAGAGCAGTCACGGCTTTCCATGAGTGATGCCTTGAGCTCGGAACTAGTATCGGGGTCTATCGATGCCTCCTTAGCGGAGATCGATAGCCGGGCCAGGGATTCAGACCGACTTACCGAGGAAAATATCGTGGTCGGGCCTTTCTCTGTGCTGGATCTATCGGGTCCGAAGCATGAAGAGACTGCCTCGCAGCAACAAAGTTCCAGGGCCACGGAGGTCGTGAGCCCTCCGGCAATACAAGCACCCCTGGTTGAAACCAGCTCGGTCGTAAGCCCGTCACTGTCACAGGAGTCGATTGCTTACATGAACGATCTGCTACAATGGTCGGATCTCTTCAGTATCGACCTTCAAATGCCAGACTCTATGATCTCAACAGCTTTTGATATTGGTGATGCTCTTTTCCTCGAGCCAGATGCACAGGCTGCTGTCAATGGTGGTGCGGTAGGAACAACAGATCCAATCGTCGATACAAATGGGGAGCAGGAAGGAACGCAATCGACATTAATCCCGCAGCTACCCTCGACCCTGGCCAGTGATCCGGTCAATGTGCTGGCTGATGCCCACTTTCTGCTGCGACATTTTCAAGACCATGTCATCTCTCGCATGTCAGCCATTCCTCTCGAGCAAAAGTCTCCGTGGAAGATCACGAATGTGCCATCCGCAGTGGTGACGTACAGTGATTTGACCTTTCTAGGGACGCAGAACATCAGCCATGCTCGCTTAGCGAACCTATATTGCCTTCTGGCATGTTCTGCGCTGCATTTGACCGTTAATCCATCGATGAATACATCAGAGTCTCGGGTGAACTGGCAACCGATTGCTGAGCACGCATATAATATGGCCAAGGACCATATGCAAACATCACTAAGACATGAGATTCAACCGAAAGCTGCCAAGTACAAAGACCAGCTGATGGCCATCTGTGCCTTGACCGAATTTGCTGTAAGCTTCATGCATTAATTGCGAACCACAGTTACAGCATCTTACTGACGCCATGTAGATTATCAGCGGCCAACAGCAAGACGCAAGATGCTATATGGTCGACGCTGAGCGACTACTGCGCTTGCGGGGCCTGTCCAAGCGACGCATATCCCAGAAAGCCCGCCTCCTTCACCACGTATACACTTGGCTCCGGATCATCGGCGAAAGCACCTACACCCTACACGACTATACTCCTTCAGAGCATTTCATGAACGCCTTGAAATGCTCGTTCCGATCTGAGAAGTCTGACAGCATCAACAAATCTAGTACCACGAGCGAACAGACATCCCGATTGGACGACTTCCTCCGTCTAGCCCGCGGCCCGTCCGACAGCGACTTGAATATCAACGAACCCAAGAGCCAAGACGTCGGTCTCCATGACATCCACCTCCAAGACTCCCGCAGCTACCCGGATACTCTGTATCATCAAATCTATGGCATCCCGGAGACCTGGCTGAGTCTCGTCTCCCAAACGACACGCCTGGCCAACGTGATGGAGACCTTCCGGGTGGCCCGGCGGACGCCGCAGGTGAAGCAAGCCAGCATCGAAGCCTGGGATGCGCTGCACCGTCGCAGCGCCCGGCTCGAGAATATGGTCTGCGCTTTAGCTTCGCGCAAAGTCGAGAGTGCAAGCACGTCTCCGAATCTCTCGGAGGTGTGCTCTCAGGCGCACGAGTACCTCCTCGAGGCGCTGAACTCGGCGCTGGTCATCTTCTTCTACCGTCGCATCCGCGAGGTACACCCGCTGATCCTCGAAGGCCACGTCGACAAGGTCGTTTCGTCGCTCAGCAAATTCGATGCTGCGTTGACTGAAGCAGGACAGACCGGGCCGGGCACCGCGTGGCCGCTGTTCATTGCGGGGTGCGAAGCGACCACCCTCGAGCGACGGAGCGAAGTCCTGAAACTGTTAGACAAGGGAGAAGCGCGGTGCGGGTTCGCAGGGTTCCGCGTGGCGCGCGATGTCATGAAGGATGTCTGGACGCAGCAAGACGAGCACATCACCTCCAGTCGCGGCGAGTCCATCCCGACGTGGTTGGATGTGACCAAGCGAGGGCAGATTTGGCCTATCCTTGCCTAGAGGGGCTTAGGTTGTAGTATGTCTCACGGTGTCTACGAAGTAACGAGATTATGACACGGAATGCGCTTAGCATTTAACAATTCTTTCCATGCCCAATCTATGTTCGACCTCTATACACAATTTAAAACCCAGCACCCATCACCACCGCTCAGCTCCCCCTCACCTCTCCCATTTCACTGCCGGCACAGCTCTCCTATTGCTCTACAAGCGATCACCTGATGTTCCACCCTTTCGTAACGGGGTGGGTGGCAGGGTGGGTGAGGACAATCAAAACAGTATCCTGGTTGATTAGTCTGGTAAAGGAGGGATAGCGTAACAATTGAGCACGATAAAGCGATCCTCAGAAGATAAGACCCTTATGATATGGTTCCACCTGACGGGAGGAGCTTTTCATCTCGGAGACAAGACTCTAAATGCATTTAGATGCCCTAACTCCGGAGTAAGTATTGTAACTTAATCCCCCCTCGTCCCGCACTGGAAATGCCACTCACTCTCCCCCGGCCGGAACGAACTACCCTCGCAATACAACGGCAGCCGTCAACAGTCCCCTCAGCTTCATCGCCTACCAGCACTTCCTTCCCCTTCCAGAAAAGTATAGTTTCGGCAGGCCATTCCGCTCACGCTCGTCATAGTGCGTACGTACCTAGCCCACACCCCACACCCCGTACCCCGCAGCCGGGCATGTCGCTGCTTCTGTACTCGTACGCCAGCACGCGAGGACATCCATGATGGCTTCGTGCAAGCTTTGGTGCACGCACTGGTCCGTTCACGGGGCACGCACCACCTGAGCCTAGAGCAGCTAGACTCTGCTTTCTTCCGGGGTGGCTCTGGTATAGCTTGAATGGCATATTTCTGAGCCTTCAGGATCACACCTGGTACGGCTGTGGATGGTATATTTCTGGGACGGGGCACGTATCTTCGCTATGTCAGTTTATCCAGGGGAGGGGACTGCTCTTTCGGTTTGATGCGGCTATAGAAAGTCCGTTGCAATGATATATGAGTGAGTCACTCTTGTGTTTAGCTGTGTTCTATGTACCCCACGACCGGGATCAGAGTACACGAAAAGACTTTATAAGAAGTGTGGAAGACAGAACAAGTATGAATTCATTCGATTACGTACACACAAGGCTATCTGGGCAGGGCTAGATATCAACACGCCGCCCGCCCCCCGGAGCCTGGCCAGCGAGACCGCAGAGCCGCAAACTGCAGACCGCAGACTGCAGACCAGAATCCTCTGAACGACAATACTGTAGAACCTGCTTTCTGGCCTTTGGTTATTTGGACCAAAGACGTGGGGCGGACACTATGATTCCATCCGCACGATCTTCTGCAGCGGCTCCGTCGGGTTCCGCACGATCAGGTCGAGAGACTCGAGCATGCGGGCCAGAATCTCCGAGGCGTACTTCTCCGAGGCGGTGGACGTCCAGTAGCGGAGCTCGATCTCGATCTGGGCCGGCGAGGTGTGGACCGCGAGACAGAAGTCGTACTGTGTCACGGGATTAGCTTTTGGAGTGTCCATGAGTTCGGTTATTGGGTGGAGGGCTTATGTTCCAGAATGGGGAATGGGCGCATGGCTGGAGGGATGGCTACTCACTTCGGTGGGATCTTCCAGGTCAAGGAGCTCGACTTGGGTGTTTCTGGTAGCAGTCGAAGCTGCAGTCTCCTTGTCTTGGGAGCGCGCGGGATGCGAGTTGGTCGAGACGGTGTTTTGGACGGTCAACACCGTATTGAACAGTTGCTGGTCCAGATCATTGTCTGGCTGCGCCCGGGATCTGCGGACCATATCGGGCATGGAACAGTTCTGGTGCTCGGTTCGTCGTTGGATCTCCGCTTGGTTCCGGTTCAAGGCCTCCACTACCGCGATGTTGGCTTCCAGGGCGAGGCGACAGGGCAGGATGTTGAAGAAGGAGCCCACGGAGTCCCAGACGTCGAGGTCCTCGCGGCCGGACGTGACCGTGCCGAAGCAGACCTCGCGAGTGTTGGTGTACTGGCCGAGCGTCAAGGCCCAGGCCAGCTGGCAGATGTTCGTGATCGTGAGGCGGTGGGCCCTCCAGAACGCGTTGAGGTCATGGAATTGGGCTGGCGAGAGACGGCGGGTCTGCGCGCGCGGCGAGGGGGGGGTAGAGGGCGAAGGTGTCTCCTCTGGTCGTCGTGAGAGGTGTGATGGCTGAGAGTCATACAGCACGTGCGACCAGTATTGCAAGGCCTTGGCCGACGGTCGTTGCTGCTGTAGGTGGGTCAGGT